TGAGCGGGCACTGTAGGATGTCAGTCTATTATGGTGCAGTGTGTGACTGTGTTCCCAGATGTCTTCAGATCATTAAGAAGCTCCTCCTGTGCAGTTTTGGACTAATCCTCCACCTTTCTCAGGACCGTCCTCATCCCACAAGGCATAATCTTGCATGGTGCTGCAAATCAAGGACGACAGATGATCATTTCATGTTTCTTCCATTTCTGAATAATTGCAGCAGCAGTTGTCACCTTCTCACCAAGCGTCTTGCTAATGGTCTTGTAGCCCATACCAGCTCTGTGCAGGTCTGAATGATGTCCTTGTCCAAGATGTCATTTAACAGTTCTTTGGTTTTGCTCATGGTGGTGGACAGGTTTAAAGGTGGAAGAATTAGATTCTCTGGGTTAGTGTGCTCACACGCATAGAACGAGTTGAGATCAGGCGTATGTGGAATTGATAGAATCAGTGTGTTCACTCAATGATGTTCAAATCAATTTCTAACTATTATGTAATGTGTTTTTTGTTTTTTTTTTGTTGTTGTTGCTTTTTTGTTTACATTTTGTCTCTCTACATGAAGCTCAAACTAACATTAAAGATTAGAGACTGATGTTTTTTTTGTAATAGAGCAAACTTACAAATTCAGCATGGCATCGATGAATTATTTCCCCCCCACAGTATATATGAATATGAATGCTGCAAATGATGTTTATTTAAAAAGGGAAAAAAAGTTGAAACGAAACAATTTATTATCCTGGTTATGTGTTTTTTATAATCAGCCTTTTGCTGTGAAAACACAACCCATGATTCTTACACAGCACTCTTTTCAAACTAGATTTCTTTTTTTGTGTTTATTTTAATTACACAACCCGACCGTTAACAGTAATACAGCAGTTTTGTGTTGACAGCAGATTTACAAGTGGTACAGTAATTGTTTTATAGGACATTTACTTGTTGAGAAGGTTTGTTCACAATACTTGTCAGGACTTTTTTTTCTACATGGATGAACTTGCACATTTTAGTTTCGCCTCTGGTATAAAGAGCCCTGCAATAGACATGAAGTTGCAACTTGTGTGAGCCCACAGGTGGAAAGGTGAGAATGTTGCCACGACCGAGGTGTCTGACATCTTGACGATCTGTGATTGTCTCAAAGAAGCCAACGTTTACGGAGTCCAAGTGCCAGGTGATTGTTACTTTCTCTGTATTTTTTCAGCTCACCATGATTTCTATAAGAATATCATCACCACCTTTGTTTTGCTATGTAGGCCATGAGGGGCGGATAGGGATGGCAGCTGTCACTCTGAAGAAAGAAGTCCAGTTTGACGGACGTAAAATATACAACCATGTGGTCAGCTGCCTGCCCTCATATGCACGTCCTCGCTTTATAAGGATGCAGGTAATTTAATTTTCTGTTTCAGTTTAGGATGAAACACCAGGCATATTTTAATTTTTGAAAAGAAACAGAGTAATTATTGATCCAATATTGATGATTTCTTTCTGTGTAGAGCGCTGTGGAAGTAACTGGGACTTTCAAACAGATGAAGGTAAAATTAGTGGAGGAGGGATTTGATCCAGGACGTATCCAGGACCCTCTTTACATCCTTGATGATAATGCCAAGAGCTACGTACCACTGACAGCTCAGATCTATCATGCCATCATATCAGGAAGCACGAAACTATGAGCGGGCTCTCAGTTTTCACCAGATGTGCAAGCTTTTTGGGTAATTGGTATTTTTAATGAATTAACTTCCAGCTCAGGGAAGAAACACACTTTTCAATAATGCTCTAGTTGGTTAAATCACATTTTTTAAGGCAGCACATGGGACTCTGTGTACAAGGGGTGGGGTTTGTCACACTATAAATGTGTATTTACTCGCACGCTGACTTCTGTTTATGCATGTACTTTTTTTCAGTGTTGCGTTCGTGTGTTATGGTACGACAATTGTGGTGAAGAAACACTATGGATAGACGGTGTAGTTTACATACTTCATTTCATACTTATTTTTTATGTACTTCACAAGAATTATTTGCTTTTCTTCAAGTGATGAGTACCTCATGATCATTTAATACTTACAAAATTATATATTAAGGGGAATTATATTGATGCATTTTATAATAATGTGTCAGTAACTGTAAATGTGCGTTGCTTTCTTCAGAATTAAAGTTAAGCCAGAAGCAGTTTTCGTGCTTGTGCTTGCTCTGATTTTGCTCACTACAAAAATTTCAGATGTGACATGTGACGTGGAACAGTCACTAGGTGGAGACAAACACTGCCTGAGCTTCACTCCTCAGTGTGGTTGAAACAGAGTAGCAAATCAGCAGTCAGTAAATTAACTTCAACATCTAGAATTTACTCCCTTTCCTGACTGTGTGGGAACCACAGATCCTGGGTTATCCTCACGTTCAGCCACAAAATGTGGCTTGGGTTTACCAAATCATGAAAATCAGCACCAGACTAAATGTGGGGGAGGGAAGGAGGGAGGTTGTCTATACACATACATGCATTTCTGCACATTTTTTCTGAAAATGGAGAAGTACCATTTTCAAGGACAGGATGGGTGAAAAAGCAGCCAATGCTTTATTACTGTGTAACTGTTGTGTAATGTTTTTTCTGCCTTATCTGCTTTTATGTTTTTATGATCAGTTGGTTGTGTTAAAGGAAGGTGGCTGGAGAGCCGCACAGGAATCTTTGATGTAAATCCTCTGTTAATGTTTTCAGCTCATTATTTGGCAGCCACTGGACAAAACCCACTTGACCTACCTGTCTTTGCCAAGTGTGAAAATTGCAGAAAAACAAGACCATAATTATTCCACTGTTCATGTTACTTTTGGAAGCACTGGAGTGCAACTCATGGAGATCAGATAGTCCCGAGCTTGAAAGTGTTGAAAGGGGTGTTACACTTTAAGAATTTAACCAAACTTGCTCACATTAATCACCTAATGGGTTCTCATGGACACTGTGCTGAAGCTCAAGGTCACATTTATAATCTGACAATCTGATTACTTTGATCCGAGCCAGAGTCATCGAGAGTTTTACAGGCTTCATACTGACAAAGGTGTTATCCTACATCTGCCACACACACTAAAAGTAACATGGTTCAGACAAGGAGCCTTCCTGACACCTTTCTTTGAGTTACGACAGTAGCATTCCCTGTAAAGCCATTAGATTGACCAGTAATTAACAGATATTGTTAAATAACATAGTGCACATAAGCATGTTTCACTATGTTTGCACTTTACACTTTCTACACCTGGCCCAGGTTTCAAAAATCCCTAATGTTTATGCATCAACTTGGTATTCCATTTGAATCATGGGTGGAAGTTTGCATTTGGTGGAGCGCCATTAGAATAGAACCAATGTTTTCAGAAACTCAGGAGTTCCCTGACAATATCATGTTTACTCGTTTTCTAAACCCAGAAAGCACACTCAGGCAACAGTGTGTGAGATGCAAGTGTTTATTTAGAAAGTGCTGAGAGGAACTGAGAATCTCGGAAAAGGCAACACAGTGTTAGTTTGTTCACGGAGATGGACTCATCTTACATCTGGAGAGGGAATATGCTGGTGTGCAGACTAGGTGAAGAATGACCAGGCCATTGAACTTTCAGTTGGTACTGAGTTCTGCAGATAATTGTAAGGCTGAGGTGTTTTAGGCACAATACCGGCTGGGACCTGGAAGAGCCATGAGGCTGAACTGGTTAACCCTTCAGGTGAGTGAACATGGTGTGTGTCTGTGTGCTGTAGTGAAATCAAAAACAGTGAGAATACTGAAGAAATACAAAGGCACAGATGGAGCAAATCTACCATCATAGTGGACTGTACGATCTGACTGGGAATCACAACCACAGCCTAATGGTAGATATGGGTGGGCAGATGGACTGGACTGGTCGCTTTTCTACTCTTCTGAGCACTCAAAGCGCTTTACACAACTTGTGCATTCACACCCATTCACACAAGCACATTGTTCTAAGTGCTTTCTAAGTAGCATTCACACACACTCATACTCCGATGGATGCATCGGAGAGCAATTTGTAAGACTGTGACCTGATCAGATATCACTGGACTTCTCCACTACTATGAAATAAAACATGTTAAGTAAAAAGTGAATTCTAACAGTTTGAAAGTCATAGGGTTATTTTGATAATGCATTTTCTTGGCTTATTAACAGATAACACCAGCTAGTTTGTGAAGAACCCTATCTCTACTTAAAATGCTTGATATCATCCTATAAAATTATTATTTGAAATGATAACAGCATCTTTTTTATTTTAAAATTGAAAGAAAATGATAATTTGCCCCATTTAGATGTTTTAAAGATAGATTGCTCTAATACTTTGACCACCTTTTTTCCCTCGTTCACCACACTGTGCAAACGGTACATGCATCCCTGTGCTTAGCTCGCTTGCTACCAGTGTTGGTCAAGTTACTTGAAAAAAGTAATCAGTAACTAATTACTGATTACTTCCCCCAAAAAGTAATCCCATTACTTTACTGATTACTTATTTTCAAAAGTAATTAATTACTTA